ACAAGAGGGAAACGATGAGACACCCATAGTTTTCTGGAGAGGCTGATCGTGGCCAGTACGACTAGTGTTTCAGCGACCCAAAACCTAAAGGGTCTAGGAGCTGCTGAAAGCACTAAGCCCAGAAAATGGTCCGAGCACCTCCCCAACCCTCTCCTGCTCATAAATCTCCTTCTAGCACCAGCTGCTAGAAAGGGTGACACTGGCTCCGACCACCACAAGCGACCCCCAGCGAGACGCATAACGGGAACCACGCGGTTCTCCTCAAGCTTTTCTCTCTGATTCCCTCACTCTCTCAGCGTCTAGCCACTCAGGGAGGCAAGGGATAGTTTGTTGTCACAGTCATAAGTGGTTCAAACAGAAGGAAGGCCCCTATTTATAGGCCCCAAGGCGGACTGAGTAGCCTAAGACCCCCATGCCATGTGACGAACCATGGGAAGCCACAACCAATGTCAGATGCCCACGTGAGGTTGGGGAAATCGAGACCCTCACAAAGGCAGGGCCGATACAGTGTCGATGAGACCACTCGGCCCTGCCTAGGTCACGAACCCCAATATGCATCACACTAACACGGCAGGCCTCAACAGTCGCATACCACGTCATCAGGGCGTCCTGATGGAGCGGAACGAAATAGCCACCTACTGCATTGAACGCACTAGCCCACAAGGGGTCGAGCAACGAAGCTCAGATAGGCCACGACTACGAACCCACACCCAATGTACATGTATCTCAGTGCTTTCATGACCACTTCATGATCGCAAAAACGCTCAGGGGCTATGTCAGGGTTATGATCTCCGAGTGTCTCAAGGCATCGATTAGTTAGCAGGCCGAGCGGCCCACGATACACCAACTAGCAAAGGCCCAAATGATCGAGGCCTAGCTAAGCCAAGCAGACTAGGCTAGGCGACAAGGACAGGTCAACCATGACCCCTCCCTTCTGCCTCAGTCGCACGCTGCACAAGGGTTTACGACCTCTCTGCTGTCCTGACCCCTGGGAGGAACGGTGAGAGGTCGAGCCTAGCCAAGCATGCCTGCTCTGACAAGAGTGGACATGCCGTACTGAGCCTACAAGGACCGAGGGGACAGCGGTCATCATGGTCTGATCAGACGCCATCCCTACACCACGCAACACAGAGAACACCGCTTAGCGATGATGACCAGTACGGCGACCCGCCGTCCAAAATTGGTCCGATAAGATATGCGTACGATCCTACCCACTATGGGATGGGATCCATAATGGAGGCCTTGACTTAGAGGCCATCTAAGTCAATGGGAGCCATGACCCTAGATCCTAGGATCATGGCCACCAACTCAACAAGACTAACCAGGCGATCGATGATCTGGGGGCGGCTACCAACTCCGGTATGATGCCCCTAGGAGACAGGAGGCAATGACGAAGGCCATAACAGAGACCACATCGCATAGGATAGCTGGCGAAACAGCACCGTGCATATAGTGCCACCACAGCCAGCACAGTAGCACCACGCCACACCTTACCATGACGTGGGCACAAGACCATAACGACAACCACTCCTAGATGTACTCCATAAGATGGTGTAGCTTGCAAGCCAAGTTAGCTTGGCCCCTCCCTCAGGCTCACGACCCCTCGGTCGGGAGAACCTTCTTCTTTGTACATGCTCTAGCCTTGAACTCTATATAAGGGCAGCTAGGACATCCTTCCAGGGGATCGGATTCTTTTTGAATCTCCATGTTCTTCACAACCACTAGACTCCTAAAGCTTCCCTTCAGGTAGTTCATCTCCTAGCTCTCCTACCTCTTCCACCATTCTTGCACACCCCCATTGTAAGAACTTCAGAGCATTCAAGCGAGGAACACGCACTCGATCATCTCTGAGACTAGAAGAGGGCTCCGGCCTGAACTGGTATAAATCCTCATGTCTTTTGAATGCTACCATGTCTTCCTCGAGCAGCGCAATAATCATACAAATTTACAAATCCAGTTTACAAAACACCAACATGTGGTTTGGTATAGACAAGTCTGGGCCAGAGCACGTTAAGATCGAAAATCGGTCCCCGGCTGCACCTATGGTTTCCTTCTTGTTTTGCTGGAAATTGAGTATCTCTTGTCGTAGGGCAGTGATTCCAGATATAGGGAAGAATGCAAGACAAAAACTGTTCCTTAGTTCTTCCCAATCTCCGTTTACCTTCCCTACATTGTGAGCGTACCATTGTTTCGCCCTCTCATTTAATGAGAAAGGGAACAGTTTCATCCGGAGTGTTTCTTGTGACATGCCTGTAATGGTCAAGCATGCACAGAGTTGCTCAAACTCCCACAAGTGTGTGTATGGGTTTTCATAATCTAGCCCTAAGAAGGCTTGTTCCCGAACCATGGCTATAAAACTAGGATGGAGTTCGTAACTGGAAGCTATGATTGGCTTCAAAGATTGTGGTGGTTCTATGAACTCACCCATGGGAGCAGAAAGGTTTTGGATAGTTTTGTGCTCTATTGGAAAAAAGAATAAAAGAAAAGAAAGATAAAACAAAAGGATACATAGGTAGCTTCGGAGATAATTACGACAACCATTCCCGGGCAACGGCGTTAGAAATGCTTGTTGGTATTTCTTAGCGTAAGTAGAAGGAATCCGCACGTGCACGGATACACTGTTGTAGCACTTCACCCAGAAGTATTCAGGGTATCATATTTTCCCAAAGAAACGGATGTGTAAGTCTCTTGACTAGCTCACCTAACAAAAATAAGAAGAAGGGTAACTTGGGTGGTGAGGTTTTTCTAAGGATAGAGATCCTAAATGAAGATAACCTTGCCACTAAGTACTTGCTTCGGGCACTAGGTTGCATCTGGTCTGCCAGATGATGCCGACCTGTAGCTCTACGTCGAACCCGAACGTGGGGGATTACAAGGGATGGACAGGGCTGTCACCACCTGCCGCTTATCCCTCAACCATGGGGAACGAGGTAAATGAAGGTAACTTCTAGCCTAGACACTACGTCTACGCTATCAGTTACTACTCTAGCATTGGCCAGGAACTTTCGTCTTTATCAAGAGTCCTCTACTAGAGCACCCGCGACTTGGACGGGCGACGAACCTGCAAGTAAATAATGAACAAGAATAGGTTGCTTAAGAAATCAATACCAAAGTAGAACACGAACTTCTTACTTCAAGTAGTAAGATTGTAGAGGTACAAGTGGAGGAGCCGCTAGCTCCGGCACTCCTTCCGCTAAGTGTAGCGAGTACACTAGTGGAGGTAGCTAACAACCCTGACAATTCTCCAACTCTTCTTTCTCTCACTCCCTATATTATTCTAGCTAAAAGCTAATGATGAGTGGAGCCCTTCTACATCTCTTCTTGTGTATTGGATGAATGCTTAGTGAAGGAGCTTCCCCCTTGCTAATATAGGCATCCTATGTTGGTTCATAGGGGGATTTTTCCCAGAATACCAGCATGCACCGCCTCTGCATGGCTCCCGAACATTGCCTTACGAAGGAGTGGACGAGCGGCGCCAGGTGGGGCATGGGCACACCCTGATCGGCTCCAATTGCCACCGCCTTCGTACGATGGGCTGCTAACTGGGCCTGGAGCGTGTTCCTGTTGTGCTTTTAGTCTAGTTGTGCCAGCACGTGGATGTTCATTCCTTTTCTCTTTGTTTGCTTGGGCCGAATTGTGTGGATGGCATACGGCTCCACCCACTACGGGATTGAGCTCACGACAGCAGCCTTGACTTTCAAGGCTGTCTGAGCCAATGGAGGCCACAACCCCGGAGCGTGGGATCATGGCCATCGGCTCCACGACCAGCAAGCATATCTCCTGATATCTCGACATATCTCTAGATCATCTAGCCCATAGCTCATCTTTCTCCTACCTCTTTCACCCTTCTTGCACACCCCATTGTAGAAACTTCAGAGCATTCAACCGAGGAACACGCACTCGATCTTCTCTGAGACTGGACATAGGACTCCGTCCTAAACCAGTATAATTCCTTATGTCTTTTGGATGCTACCATCGTCTTCCTGGAGCAGCGCGACAATCGTACAAATTTACTAGTCGGTCGACAAAACACCAACAATTTGTATTTGTGGTTCTGCCATTTTTCACCCTGGTGGAAGGGTGTCTTGCTGTTGTTGTTGTTTTTTTCTTTCCTCCCAACGATTGTAAAATATAAAACAAGCCATTTTTGGGGGTTATATCAATACATATTTAGGTGGGGAGTAGTCCCCCCAATGACATTTAAAAAAAATACTGATCCTTCCATTTTAAAAAGGATGGAGCATGTGGACTGAAATATGTTGGCCTTCCTCCCACTCATATGGATCTTTTTTCTAAACAAGGCGCACCGTGTTCACGAGTGTAACCACTAAGTGTGTCCCGAAACATTTCCGAGTCTGTCTAGCCAGCACTCGAGTGTTTAGCCTGCTGTGAGCACTCAAATTTTCTTCATCTCTGGCGCCGGCGTGGGAGGGAGAGTGGGAGGGAGAGGCAGACGCGCGGGAGACATCGAGTGTTCCAACACTCAGGCTGTTGGGTAGCCTTCCTCATTTATTTTGAAGTTGCCCAAAACGGTGTCTAAATCCAGTCCACGCCAACTCGCTGTTCCTGGCCCCCATACCTTGAATTGAATGTCCTCGCAAACAAACCAAGTCAAGTTCAAACATGGGTTGCAGGGTAGAAGCGGGCCCACAGGTCTGCAGTCAGGTGGCGGGAACGACGCCTAACCCCTCCAGCCAGCCAACAGACACGACGGTCCTCTCCCAAATCAAACGGACCCCACCCGCGTGCTCGTCTCCCGCCATGTTTGACCTCCTCCAACCACCAATCTCTGACCACGGATGGATCGCCTTCCACACCCATACCACGCCATTAAAGAAAGAATAGGGCTGCTGCCTGCGGCCCGCCGCCGTTTCTCTTTCTGGACCCGATCGCCTCCTTCCTACCCCCGGTGTCGACGGTAGCGGCGGGCCCATTTTTACTCCTCTCGATCGAGCTCCTGCTGCCTGCACTGCACTGCAACTCTGCAAGGCAGGATATATATGTTGGCGAGACCAGTCCTGCCAGGAACCAGCCGCGAAGAAGATACCGCTAGGTACCTACCTACCTTGCTCTGGTTTCATTCTGGAGTTGTTGGTACTCCGGTGAGCTCTGCTTGGCAGTCATGCTCATGCTTGGCGCGCGGCGAGTGAAGTGAATCGGCGCAGTTCCGGTGCCGGTGAGTTCTTCTTGTCACCCTGCCACCCTGCTCTGCTTCTTAATTTCTAGTCAGATGGTAGACAAGCTTCAAACCTGATCAACCCATTGTCTTCCAATCCCCTGCAGATTTACGCTCCTTGTTCTTGACGGAATCAAGCCAAGAATCCAAGATCTCGATCGACCTGCTCAAGACCAGAAATGGAGGTACAGATGGCCGCACAAGGCCCCAAATCGAAGGGACACGGCAGCGCGCCGTCTGACTCTCACCACGGCGGCGGAGCCATCGAGAAGCTCATCCCCGGCTACCTCAGGCCGTCGGCCGGCTCCTGCCACCACGGTCTGCAAGTACGGCGGCACGCACACGTTCGAGGATCACAAGGAGGCGCACAGGCCCCAGCCGAGGCCGCCTCGGAAGCAGCCGCTGGGTTCGGCTCCGGCTCCGGCTCCAGAGAGCCACAACCACAGCAGGGTGCTCGTCAAGGTGTGGTCGGTGTTCCGGAGGCCTGTCGGGGACTCCACCACAGCTACTCAGAAACCTTCCAAGGCGGCCGCTGGCAAGGCCAAGGCCGCCAAGGGGGCCGAGAGCGTGGAGTGGAAGGACATTGTGGCCTATGATACGGTGGTTCCACCTCATCGATCGTCCCCGCAGCCTGATAAATCCTCAGCTCAGGTCACCGGCTCCGGCGGCGACGCCAAGAAGAAGGATGTGATGAAGAAGGGGAAGAAGTCGTACGTCAAGGCCAAGGTCCACGAACAAGTGGAAGGCGTAGAAGGTCGTCAGAATGAGCCATTGGGCACCGACACCAACACTGACTCTAAGAGTGTAAGACCTCCAAAGGCCAAGAACAAACCTGCGGCGTTGCTCGTCGAAAACATGGGTATTGATCAAGAGACGCTTCAAGGGTACCAAATTCTGTCCCCTTCTCTAGCACAAAGTCGCGCAAACCTTTTGCGCGACCTTGAAAAGGAGATGATGGCTGAAGAACCTGCCAATGTGAAGCAAGAAAGCACACCGTTAACATACTCTCTGGATCCAGAAGAGTACGCTGCCGCTACAGAATCAAGCAGGCCCATCCCGGCCCACCGGAGGGTGCAGAGCATGAGCATGAGCATCAGCAGCAGGTCCGTGCGGTACCCGTTCGCGCGGCAAGCGAGCAAGAACTCAGGCACCGCCTTCAAGTTGCGGTCCAGGAGCACCAGGGCGCCAGCAGTCCTGCCACCGAAGGAGGAGAAGCCGGCGAGGCTGAGGTCCAGGAGAGGCGAGGATCCTTCTTCGGCCACCGCTGGAAGAGGCATCCATCTCAGGATCCGGAGCCTCCGGAGGCGCGGCGTCGGTGGCTCCGGTGACGCGGGCACCAGCGGCTTCATCGTGCCGGCGGTGGCGCTCAGGCATCAGAAGACGCTGGAGAAGAAGAAGAGCCAGAGGCTGTACAACAGCCACATCGAGGAGACGGCCACCAGGCTCGTCAAGACGAGGAAGAGCAGGGTGAAGGCCCTGGTTGGGGCCTTTGAGTCCGTCATCTCCAACATTGCAAAGTAGGTGTAGGAGAGCAGGCGGATGTATTGTTCATGTTACAAACAGCTTGTCTCGCAATTTTTTGTTGCTCTCGAATGAGTGCTTGGCTGATTTAGCACGGATGGAAATGTTTGTCTTGGTATTTTCTTTTTTAATCGAACACATCTTGATAATTCCAAGGCGTCAATCTCTCCTTGTCCAATCACTCGCTGTTGCTACTAACACTACTACAGATCTGGACCACTGCCGACCTCATTACTATCGGATTAGGGCGAACTGGCAGTGATGTACCTTTACTACCGGTTCAGAGCCTGAAAATCAGAAAATGATTGGGGTTGGGCTAAAACCAGCAGTGAAGGTCCACATCACTGCCGGTTTATGGCTTGCACCGGTAGTGGCTTGACGTCTACTTATCACTGCCGGTTCTAGCCAAGAACCGTCAGTGATGTTGGGCTATCACTGTCGGTTCTAGACAAGAACCGACGGTGATAACATCGCAGTACAAAAAGCTGGCGCCATCCTCTCCTTCCTCCTCTCTTCTATCCCGAGCACAGAGGCACGCGTTTGGGCCGCTCCCTCCATTGTTGCGGTTGCTCTTCACCATAAAACTAGCTCTTGAATTTAAAAGAATGGCTTGATCTTCTTGCTTTAAGGTTTCTTGCTTAATTAGCGTTGTTTTGATGACGACATTACTTGATTCTCATTCTAGTTCTTTCACCATTCTATAGAGCACTTTTTTAATTGGACTTTGTGCAAGGCTTGCAAGTAAATTATGGTGAATCCATCATCCAAAAGGTTGGTGTCTTTGAACATATTTAAATTCCTAGCTAATTACATGGTGGTCAAGATCATTGTTAGTATGTGATGCTATAATTAGTTCTTGATAGGAGTAGAATAGATTCTTTTAGAATTTTGGTGAGCAAATTAATCAATGTGCCACCTACCAACACATTGTTTGGAACTACATTGTTGTTCATGATCATATCTCTAATTTTAGTGTTTTTCTAATTAGTGTCTCCATTTTTATGTACCATGGAGTAGAATAATTATTATTTATTATTGTGAAATAATTATTTTTAATGGTGCTACTATTTTCCATATATATGGTCGAGGCTACCAATTTCAATATTCCAATAATTAGTGTACAATAATGTTTTCCAAAAATAGGGTGACTAAATTAAATAAGTGTAGAATAAATTGTTGTTTCGAGCAACAATTGTTGTTCATGAAGCTCCACTTGTTATATTTCTCTGTAATTACTGTCTCAATATTTTGTTGTGCAGAGATGGATCGAGAGTGGATGTATGGGTCTCGAACGGACAAGCGGTACATGGTTGCATCGGAAAGTTTCTCACCGATGCCAAAGCCTATGCCGGGAATGAGAACCCTGTCTTCTACCCATGCAAAGATTGCATGAATCAAAGAAAATGGGCTTAAATTGAGTCTGTACGAATGCACTTGATTACTAGGGGGTTCATGCCAAACTATACGATATGGACTATGCATGGCGAGGTAGGTGTGAATGTTCTACAGGAAAACGATGATGATGTGGCCATGCCTGATGTGGTCATGCCTGATGTAGTCATCCACGACGCTGATGAGAAATTCGGTGTCCACATGGAATCTATGGCCACAGTTAATGATGTGTTTAGGAACATGCTAGCTGACGACACCAAGGATAACGATGGCATTTCTTAGCTGCTACATAATATAGAGACCGGATATCTTAGTGAAAACCAACTGAGAAAGCTAGAGAAAATGAGACAAGATGGCAAAACATCATTGTATAAGAATTGTCCAATGAGCAAATTGGAAGCCGACATCATGCTGTTAGAGTTCAAATCGACAAACGGATTGAGCGATAAAGGCTTCGATCAGTTGTTAGGTATAATAAGGAAAATGCTCCTAGAAAAAAACGAGTTGCCAGAAAAGACATACCTAGGCAAGCAAATGATCTGCCCCATTGACCTCGAGGTTGAAAAAATCCACGCGTGTTCCAATGATTGCATATTATACTATGGAGACGAATACAAAGACTTAGATACGTGCCCCAAGTGTGAAGCTCCACAATACAAGGAAGGGCCGTCAGATGAGGGTACCAAGACTAGAGGAGGTCCCGTGAAGGTCGTTTGGTATTTTCCTATAGCTCTCCGGGTGCATAGGTTGTTTGCATGTGCAAAGTCAGCCAGGCTGTTGCGTGGGTATGGCAAAGAGCGTAAGAAAGATACAATGATGAGGCACCCCACTGATGGACAGGACTAGAGGAAAGTCAATACTATGTTCTATAAGAACATCGGTGAAGAGGTAAGGCACCTTTGGTTTGGTTTCAGCACAGATGGGATTAATCCTTTTGACCAGGTTAGAAGCAATCGTAGCACCTGACCAGTGATGCTCTGTATATACAACATTCCACCTTGGCTCTGTATGAAGCGGTCGTACATCCAGATACCATTACTGATCCAAGGGCCAAGACAACCTGAGAATGACATCGATGTGTTTCTGGAACCAGTGATCGATGAACTAGTGGAGATGTTTGAAAAGGGTATGGAGGATGCTTGGAACGAGTACAAAAAGGAACATGTCACAATCAAGGCAGTACTTATCACTACAATCACCGACCTGCCAAGTCGAGGTTGCTTGTCCGGAGAGAAGACAAAAGGCTATACTAGATGTGTTGAGTGCTTGGACGACACCGATACGGTACATCTGCCAAAGAACTCAAAGATAGTTTATATAGGACACCATAGATTCCTACCCAAGGATCACCCTTACCGTAGAAACAGAAAAGATTTTGACGGGACTATTGAGAAACGCTTACCTCCAAAATATCGAGACGGGCATGCGATACTTCGAGAAGTCAACAAACTAGAGGTTGTCATTGGGAAGAGGCACAATACAGTAGCAGCGCCTGATGGCGTCTGGAAGAAAAATTGGTTTTCTAGAAACTACCTTACTGGTCAGTGCTAAGTGTATGCCACTGTCTTGATCCTATGCACATTATTAAAAACGAGTGTGGTAACATGCTTAACACCTTGATAGACACTGGGGGGACATCGAAGGATTCACTAGCCACACACCTGGACATGCAACACCTAGGAATCAGGAAGGAGTTGCATCCCATGGCGCTAGAGGATGGCCAGTTCAAACTTCCAGTTGCGTCGTGGACCTTGAAGAAGGAAGAAAAGCGTGCGCTTATTTCTTTCTTCAATGAACTCAAAGTCCCGATGGGCTACTGTGCAAACCCAAAGAGGCTAGTGAACATCAGAGAACTCAAGTTCAACAATGGCTGTATGAAGGCCCATGATTGTCATGTCATTATGACTCAGCTGCTCCCTGTTGCCCTGCGTGGTATCCTCCCCCAAAGGTCATCTCCATAATCATAAAGTTCTGCTCATTCTTCAACACGATCTCAAAAAAGGTCACTGATGTGTCCATGCTGGACCAGCTGCAGCGAGACATAGCCAAAACTCTCGTTAGGCTTGAGATGCATTTCTCACCGACTTACTTTGATATCTCAGTGCATCTGCTCGTTCATCTTGTTGACCAAATTAGAGCCCTTGGCCAAATATACCTGCATCAGATGTTCCCTTTCAAAATGTTGATGAAAGTTTTTAGGAGATATGTTAGCAACAGATTCAGGCCAGAAGGGGGTATGGTTGAAGGATAATCAACAGAGGAGGCCATTGAGTTCTACATATATTACCTGGACATCAATAGGGTCAGAGTTCTAGAATCTCATCACGAGGGAAGACGATCGGGGAGAAATTTATCACAATAGACGACCCCGTATCTTTCAGACAGGCACAGTTCGTTGTTCTCTAGCAAGCAGATGATGTGATACCATACATTGATGAGCATAGGCAATCGCTGTAAACTTTGTATCCGAGCAGGTCGTAGGCTTGGCTTGATAAAAAAACATAAGGATACATTTGTCAGCTGGTTGCGATGCCGCTTGATTAGTACAACGTTGGGTAATCAGCTGGATATCTTAGCCAAGGGACCTTCGAGTACATTGCTTAAGTACCAAGGGTATGACATTAATGGATTTATATTTTACACAAAAAAACAAGATGAAAAGAGCACATACGAAAACAGTGGTGTTCGTTTCAATGCTCATGACAAAAACGACAACGTGCAAGCAACGTAGTATGGTTTCATAGAGGAGATATGGGAGTTAGACTATGATCAGTTGAAGGTACCTCTTTTTCGCTGCCAGTGGTTCCAGTTCAAGGAAATCACCATCGATAGAGAAGGGTTCACTACCGTTGATCTAACCAAGACCGCATACAGAGACGACCCCTTCGTCCTTGCAAAAGACGTTATGCGAAGCTTCTATGCAGGGGACAACTAGACAAAACAAAGGTAAAAGTAGTCATGGAAGAAAAAATAAAGATTGTCGGTGTCGATGGAGTGACGGATGAAGAAGACTACAACAGCTATCAGGAAATGCCTACATTCGGGGCGAACGTACCCCTACCTATCCTTGAAGAGGGTGACGAACCTACTTATGTCCGGCATAATCACGATGAGGCCCTCATTGTTGGACTCGATGAAGATAGTTAGATTATTATTAACTATATAATCATTATTCAGATGTTGTATCAGTAATTCACATTGAATATCTAATTTATATTTTGTACGCATCTCTATAATTTAATTATTGACTATGTAATCAAATATTGAGATGATGTTCACAGACACTATTATTTAATAATTATAGACCATTAATTACTTATCATAGAATTAAATAATGAAGACACAATTTTTGTGTTATTTTAGAATATAAACTAATTGTATTTACAAACAATAAAGGAATAAAAGAAAAAACAAAACCAATCCCTGTCTAAATAAAAGAAAATTGAACAAAACTTTTAATAGTGTGTCTAAATAAAAGAAAATAGAATATAAACTAATTTTAAGTATATTTTTCTGTCTTATTAATTAATAGTGTGTTCGGACGGGATAAAACAAAAAATAAAACCAAACTAACTGAACTCCCTATACTACCACAGCGGTTAAAGCCG